TGGGCCTGGCAGGGCCTGAACCCTTGCTAGCAGGGAACTCCTGAGGTGGTCACGTTTCCAGGCTGGCAGGACCCTTGGGCTCACCCATTTCTAGAAGTGGAAACACTAAGGCTGTAAGAGGTCACGAGCAGCACAGCTGTGCCAGACCCCAGACTTCCTGGCTCATCGTCCCGTGGCTCACGGTCCTGTGCCAGGCCGCCCGAATTGTGACAGCTTCTGAGCTGATATCCAGAGCAGGGTTCTGTGATAATGCCGCCCACCCAACCTCTTTTTCCCTCCTAACTGAAAAAAAAAAAAAAAAAAAAAAAAGAAAGAAAAAGAAAAAAGAAGAAAAGGAAAGAAGTATTTGGGGCATATAAAAAAGGATAGGTGATTTAATGAACTCCCTTATACTTAGCACCTGGCCTAAGAAATAAACTCACAGATTCAGTCAAAGCACTCTCCCACCGCCAATCTCCCATCTACTTTCCTTCCGTCTTTCCCTTGCCCAAGAAAACCACTTTCCCCATCCAGATATCCACCCTTCCTATGCACATATGCTACGCTGCGTTTAGTGTGTGTGGCTGCCTTTAAAAAAAAAAATTATTTATTTATTTGACAGAGAAAGCAGGTGGAGTGGCAGGCAGAGGGAGAAGCAGGCTCCCCGCTGAGCAGGGAGCCTGGCTCAGCTTGATCCCAGGCCCCGGGGTCATGACCTGAGCCGAAGGCAGACGTTTAACTGACCGAGCCACCCAGCCACTCTGCAGCTGCCTTTTTGAGACTCTCCTGATTCCTGGGATCCAGCAGCCCATGTAGCCCCCCCCCCCCCACACGTAGACAACTTGCAGCTGGCCCTGCCTCTTTCCTCATTCCTCCCTTGCTGGGACCCTGTGGCCCTGCTCCGGACCCTTGCCAATGGGACGGGTATTTGTTCCACTCTTGGGGCTGTGCTGGCAGGCACAGCCTGGCACAGAGGGCATCATTGTACTGGCTGAGTGGCAGCTGGCTTTGTAGGGGAAGTGCCCGGCCAGGCCCAGAGGGCAGACCCTGGAGAGGTGGGGGGCGTCTGGCTTGCCCTCTCTGCAAACTGGAAGGAGTGACATGGGGTCTGGTGACGAGCAAGAAGGCCACTTGGGTGCTGGGTGGCCTTGGGGGTCTCAGTGCTGGGCCTCTTCACTCTGCAAGACCAGTCCGTGGGGTTCTGAAAGGGCCCCGCTGGCCAAGAGTTCAGCCCCAGGCCCCTGAGGGCCATGTTAGAACCGAAGCATCCGGGAAGGCAGCTGCTTCCCACCTCTGGGCCCTCGGTAGGTGGGCGCAGGTCCTGGGAAGCAGGCTGGCTGCCCTGATGCCCAGACCTTCCATGTCAGGACCTCTTTACACCCCTGGAAAGTAGTGAAGCCCCAAGGAAATTCTGTTGATGTGGGTTATATCTATTGATCTGTACCACACTAGAAATTAAGACCGAGAACATTGCCAAGCATTCCAAAGTAGATATTAAAAATAACATTGCAGGACACCTGAGTGGCTCAGGGGTTGAGCGCCTGCCTTCGGGTCAGGGTGTGATCCCGGATTCCCAGGATCGAGTCCCACATGGGGCTTCCTGCATGGAGCCTGCTTCTCCCTCTGCCTGGGTCTCTGCCTCTCTCTGTGTGTGTCGCTCATGAATAAATAAAAAAAAAACAAAAACATTGTGTTAGCAGAAAATAACATCCCCGTGTAAGAAATAGTCATGTTTAAGACCAAAAAAAAAAAAAAAAAAAAATGAGGGAGAAGAATGGCATGCTTCCCAATTTTTGCAAGTCACTTTAGTATCTGGCTTACCAGAAGACAGCTAGATTCTCTTATCTGCGTTTGCCTCCAAGTGCTGTGATGCCAGAGGCCGCGTAGCCTCCAGAACACTCCACTCCGCAGTCAGGAAGCAGCGAGACTGGAAGGCCACCTATCTCAGCATTAGTCAGCTAGCAGCCCTGGCCTCAGGGACCCGAGAGGCCCCGGGGCCCCTAAGTCCCCTGGGCTGAAGGCAGCGGGAGGGGGAGAGGGGAAGGGCGGCCCCCCCAGCTGACCAGCCTGTCCCCCGGCAGGTGTGCTGGCGCTGTGGGTGCTGGTGACGCACGTGATGTACATGCAGGATTACTGGAGGACCTGGCTCAAGGGACTGCGTGGCTTCTTCTTCGTGGGCGTCCTCTTCTCGGCCGTGTCCGTGGCCACCTTCTGCACCTTCCTCGTGCTGGCTGTCACCCGACACCAGAGTGAGCGCTGTTGGGGCACTTGGGGGTTCACCTGGGATTCCCATCCTGGTTCCAAAGCTTGTGTCCAAGGAACTTGGGAGGCCCGTGCCTGGGGGTTCTCACCGAGGGGGTAATGAGTACCCAGCCCCTCGGGTTGGAAAGGGCTCGGGGAACCCGGTGTCCTCTGCAGGTCAGCAGGCAGGGGTGTCCTCGTTAGAGCCCCGGGGGGAGTCCTCGAGCCCGGCTCTGGGGTGGGAGCGCCCCCTGGTGGCTGCAGCCAGCAAGTGGGCAAAGGCCCTCCGGGCCCCAGGAGTCTAGGGCTGGAAGCAGGGTGCAGGGGCGCTGGGTAACCCAGGGCTGAGCGCCCATCCAGGCCTGTCACTGGCCAGCCCTGACCTTCCCTCGTCCCCACGGCCTCCTGCCTGCAAACCCCTAAAGGCCCTAAAACTGGCTAGCGCGGGCCACCTCTCCTGGAGGTTGTGGGGAGGGGTGGCCCCGGGCTTGCGGCCTGGTGGCCGGGGTCCAGGGCAAAGCCGGCTCAAGTCACCGTGGGGTTCCTCTCCCCTGCAGGCCTCACAGACCCCAAAAGCTACTACCTCTCCTGCGTCTGGAGCTTCATTTCCTTCAAGTGGGCCTTCCTGCTGAGCCTTTACGCCCACCGCTACCGGGCTGACTTCGCCGACATCAGCATCCTCAGCGATTTCTGACCCAAGGGGTGAGGCTTCTGTCCCCTGGGGGTCCTCAGGACCTGGACTCGGCCTCTGAGGCACTGGGCAGGCCTGCCACCCCCCCGGAGGCCCTAGATCTGCGGCAGAAGAAACAGCAGGAGGACTGCCGTCTCCTAGGAAGCTGTCCTGCCCCCTTTGCGGGACACGCGGTGCAGGACACGCGGGTGCGGTGGAAACGGGTCCTTCCTGCCACGCGGCTCCCCATCGGCCTGGCTGGAGGGCAGCTTTAGACCTTTTCAGATGGATCTATTTTCTTAGCACTCAGTGAGGAATCTTCGAAAGCGGGGCCAGGGCAGTGAGTCAAGGGGTAGGGCAGGGAGCCCTGACCTCTGCCTGGGGGCGCTGTCTCTCAGGCCAGGCTGAGAACCTGGGAGGTCAGTTCGAGTAAGGGATCTCGAGTAGAGACCTCTCAGCCCCGACCCCGACCCCCCATCCCGTTGTCCTTTGAGGGCCGGGTAGCTTAACTCCTCAGTCCCAGGGATGGCAACACTTGGCTCTCTTTTCCCCGAGGCCTGGGGACCGGAGTGGAGAGTGTAGTGTCCCTCTCCCCTCCCCAGAGCGGGTCTCCCGTGAGTGTGCTAGAGCCGGTCATCTCCTTCAGCATCCCCAAGCCCTCTCTTTTACACACACACACACACCACACACCCCAAACAAAGCGGGACTCCCTGAATGAAGCCAGACTGAACGTCTGGAAGGTGCCCTGCCCCCCACCATGGTGCAGGCTGGCAGGAACCCGCAGATCCGTGCCCGTGTACCTCCAGCCCTACATTTCTGTCACTTCTCACATGCATCACCCCTGGCCCTGAGACGTCCCCCCGCTCCCCTGCTCACTGCCCTCCGCCTAGAGGTTTCATCTTTTTAAATCTCCCTTCCGCAGGACAAAACTCTGCTTTTCTGCCTAGATGGCACAAGGGCTCACCTAACTCGGGAGGGAGGGAGCTATTGTTACCTTTTTACGTTAGGTTGCCATTTTGCACGGTCTACCCTCTTCCCACCTGATGTGTCCTGCCCTTCAGCTCTTTGCCTTATCTGTGTCACTGTCACTTTAGCAGAAATACAGCGGCCATTTGTACCAGGCAGCCTCTGGTGGTTCCTTGGGGGTGGGAACCTTGTGGGGGGGAGGTTGGGGGGTGCTGGGGGAGCGGGAAGCAGGAAGGGTGGTGGTGGTGGGTCTCTAGCTGCCATCTCCGTAGCTCACTGGTGCCCTGGAGGGCAGAGGAGGGACCACTGCCCCAGGGGCTGGAGGCCCTCCCCCTCTGGCCCCTCTTGGCATCAGGGAGCCCAGTAGCCTGGCTCTCAGCTCACCCCAACCAGGGGTCGGGGGGATGCCCAGGGGCACAGCCTCAGCACCACCGGTGGCATTTCGTGTCCATCACCCAAGAGGCCAGGACAGATGGGAAGGTTGCTGAACCTGTTCCCCTTCATAGTCTCCTAGGCCGTGGGCTTGGGGCGAGGTCTGAGGTGATGAGGCTGCTCTTCCTGCCGGTTTGGAGAAGCCTGGCTGGCTCAGAACTGTAAAGACAGGCCCCGGCAGCCTGGCACCTTCCTCTCCGGTGATTGGAGGAGCTTGTCCCGGCCTGTTGCCTCATGCATCGTCTCTTCTAGGCTCATTATATGTTAGGAAGTCATGATGCATTTGAGCAGGAAGGGGCCATAACAGCGTCTATTTCTGGAGCCTTTAGCTGATAAACAGAGGTCCCAGGAGGTGACGTGACTTACCTGAGCTCCCAGCTGGGACCTGAACCCAGGTAGGTCGGATTCACCACCCTCGGGGGAGGCCTTCCGGGTTGGGCATCTCCATCCCACCCTCTCGGCAGGCCTGCTCTCTCTGGACTCAGCCCAAAGCCGCTGCCGCTCGATTACCCCCAGGTGGGGCAAGTGGGGACGGCCAGGGTGTGTTCAGAAGGGATTCTTTCTGCAAGGGAGCTGCCACGGAGGGGGGTAGCTGGAGCGGGGCTGGAGGGGGGCCGGGCCCTTTCCCGCAGTAAACGAGACGCGTGCGCACGAGGTACAGCTGTTCACCCACCGAACACCCCTCCTCCCCAGAGGCCCTTTCACAGGCATCTTTAAAGCAAATAAAACATTTATTGTTCAGATTTTTTTTCCTTTTTTTTTTCTTATTTTTTTTTCTTTTTTACAAAAACATGCATACATACACAGGGTATGGTGGTCCTGGGGAAGACACACACACACACACACACACACACACACACACACTCACGCTCTCTCTCACACGCACACAAACACTTTCCTTCTTGGCCCCAGGCCAGGACCCCAGAAGCCTTGAAGACTTTGCCAGGGCAGCCTCCCCTCCCCTGTGTCTTGCATCCACTCTCCCACCCCTTTCCCCTCAGCCAGGCTAGTCCTATGTGGGGCAGGAGTGAGAGCTGGGTGAGGGAGACCCCAGAAAGAGAGAGGGCTCACGGAGGGGGGCGGTGACCGAGGGGCCCCTGGCGGTCACGCTGTGCCGCTGAGGGGAGATGAAGAGTTTGGCACCATCGGCTCAGGAAGCACGGAACTCCCAGAGCACCTGTCGGCTCCGCCAGGGCACTGAGATGGCTGATGGAGGGGGGCCTGTGGCAGGGGCTGGGACCCGATGGGAGGCCTGCTGACCACTGGTCTCTCGGAAGGAGCTTTGTCTCCCTGCCCAGTGGCGGGGGGTGGGCGGGGGGGGGGGAGCTTCCAGAGTCATCTGAGGAAGCAGGCAAGAGGGATGCCCCTGCACTCAGGGGTAAGGGACCCCCTGACTCCCCCTCCCTCCCCCCCCCATACTCCAGCTCAGCCCTCAGAGCCTAGGGAGGGCCACCCTGGCTGAGGCCAAGTTCACATTTCTGCGTGGAGCCTGGGGCCGTGTGCAAAGCCCAGGGTCTACGGAGCCATGAAGAATAGTGGTTATCGGTGGGCCCGACCGAGCTAGTCCTCCTCTGTGCAGTCCTGAGGGATGGGGCCCAGCCAGGGGCCTGGACCCCAAAGGGGTCGACTCTGTTCTTGAGAGAGCCCTACTGAGGTGGAGCTGGCTGCCCAGCTGGCCTCCTCCCCGGGTCCTCTTTGGTCCCTATCCTAGACGCAGGGCCCTGCTCAGGCTCCTTGGGGTGACTGGCAAGGGGCTGTGCTCTGGCCCCAACTACCTGCCCGAAGGCCCTCTGTAGACCCGGGGACTGGGTACTGTTGCCAGAGGCTAGAGGAGAACCAGGTCCGAAGGGCAGGGGTGGGCAGGCGAATCCGTTGTGAAGCCTTAGAGATTCATAGGCTCTTCCTCCTCCACCAGCTGTTCCGGGGGCCTGGGGGAGGGAGACGCAAGGGTGGGCGTGCTGGAGGGCCGGGGGCTGCATGCCGGGAAGCCGGGGAAGGCTGGGGTGGCCGTGCTGGGATCTGGGGTCGTCGGGTGGGGAGGGTCCGAGGGGTGGAGAGGCTGTGGGCCGGCCGGGGGCCGGGCATTACCGCTCTTCAGCCAGGATGCCCACGGACAGGGATGCCAGTGCAGTCACTGCCTCCACTTCTTCTGTGTCAGCCCCTGGCACCCTGGGCGCCCAGGAGTCTGGACAGGAAGCCAGGCGCTGCATGCAGCCCCAGTATTTACCTGGGCCAAGAAGCCGAGAGTCAGAAAGGGTTAGAGAAACAAGCCCCTCCACCCTGCCACACCGCACATCCTAGACCGATGATACAAGGCTGGACCTCTCAAGACCAAGGGCCCCCCGTCAGTGGGCGTATGGGCGTATCCTCAGTTTGGGGTCAGCGCTCTCCCTTGCCTCTACCCTCAACATAACACTTTCCCTCGCTTGACCCCCCGCAGCCCTGACAGGGTGAGCAGACCAGACCCGGTGGGGCTACGAAGAGGCCCCAGCAGGTGCCCGAGCCATTCTCCTACGCCTGCGGGCGAGAGCCCACCTCTGACCCATTCCCACAGCATGGGGTCCCTAAGAGCACCAGTAGAGCTCACTCTTCCCTAGATGGAGTCTATCTCAGACCACCTCACAGATCCCGAGCCCCAGCCTCCTGGAACACAGGGTGTCACTCATGCACAGCCCCCCCGTGATGCTCAGCCCAACACACAGGACAGGACAGTGTGGGACGTGGGAGGGACATGGCACAGAGCTGACTGCCACCACGGCTGCTCTGTGGGGCCACCAGCAAGTCACCTACCCGCCCTGGGCTTCCACCACCCCCGCTAGCCATGGACATGACCATCCTGCCTACTGTTGTAGGCACATAACGTCCACAGGACATGCCCAGCCCAGAGCCTGGCCCCGGGGTGAAGACTCCACGCAAAGCACTAGCAGCATCTTTACTGTTATGCACACTTCCCCTACTGGCCCTGGATGTGGGGAAATCGACTTCATTCGTTTTTGCATCCCTAGCAGTGAACGTGGGTCTTTACATTAAGTGCTCCGTGGAGATTAAAGGTGAAAATTCAAAATGCTTTCCATATGTAGGGTTATTTATTTATTTTTAAGTGGGGTCCACACTGGGCACAGAGCCCAATGCAAGGCTTCAACTCATGACCCTGAGGTCAAGACCTGGGCCAAAATCAAGAGTTGAATGCTGAACCGATGAAGCCACCCAAGCACCCCCAAATGTAGGGTTATTCTAAGCCCCCAAAGCAGGCAAAGCTCTCAAGATCCCCATGGACAGGACTGAGGGTCAAACTAGGATCCAGCGCTTTTGGCAAAAGGTCTATTGCTCCAGCCTGGCCCTGGCCTAGGGCTGAGGTTGGGGATGGGAGGCCGGTCCTGCCTTGAGGAGGCAGGGGGTCCCCCCTGATGGACTGATGGTCCTCATTGGATCCACCCAGGGGGCTCCACGAGTACCCAACATGGAGAGGGAGGAAGTCCCGCCATTACTGTGGGGGTGATTCAGAGGAAGCCCACTGCTGCACAGCAGTGGAGCCCCTCGCCTGGTGGGCACTGGAGGCCATGGGGCCCGGGTTCCTGAGGGCAGTAGACCCTGGAGGTTCTCCAAGTCTGAGGTCAGTGGGTGCCCTCTCTCTGTACTCACTGTGCACCCGGATCACGGCTTCCAAAGAGCGGATGGCGTTGAGGTTGGGTTTCTGTTTCCAGCCCTCTTCTGAGAGGGGATCCACCTACAATAGAAAACAGCATATCAGCCCGTAGGGACGCACAGGCCCAGCTCTCTCCCATCGCCAAGGGCCCTGGCTTTCCAGGCACAAATACTCATGTGCTCCTGGCTCTGCCTAAGGCTGGAAACCCGGGTCCTAGATCTGACCTGGGGAAGGGGCACCCCCTCGGTCCCCCTCGTTCTAGGACTGCCACCCCTGCCCTACGGATGCACAGATGCGGGGGCGGGGGGGCAGCTTACCTTGTTGCCCAGAAGAGCAGCCACACAGGCCTCAGAAGCGTCACAGATGGCTGTGAGGTCATGGCCACCTTCCAAGGCCAGCACCACCGCACCGCCCGCCAAGCTCATCAGCTGCTGCGTCATGTACCCAAAACCTAGACGGTTCGGTGGGGAGGAACAGGAGAGGCAGGGTGGAGGGCGTCCTCCTTTATAAATAATGATCAGATGCATACACCTCTACTGCTTCAAGGGCTTTCACATGGACTCCTGGGTAAAACCTATTCTATGCCCCAGTCAAGGCCTGCAGAGCTTAAGGGACTTGCAGCAGGCCCACAGCTACTAAGTGGCAGGGCCGGGACGAGAAGCCAGGGCTTGGACTCCCGCCAGTCTTCCACTAAGCCTCACCATCTTCTGTTTGGACCCTGGGCCCTGGGGCCCAGCAGGCTGAGCGAGTCCCTCTGTTCTAAGAACACTGCTCCTCCCCATCCTCCCCCAGGAGAAGCTGCCAACCCAGCCGGGAATGGCACAACTGGGGTGTGTGTGGGGGAGAGGGGGGCCCTACGGCTGAGCTTTTTGGCCACCAGACTTAGTCCCCAGATGGTAGCTGAGGCCTCCCATGGTGACTGCCCTGGTCATGCAAGGGGTTCTGGGTAAGGCTCAGCTAGGAGGGCCCAGGGAATGCCAGGGCCAGCTGCCACACGCCAGTCCTCACTTGTGACCCTGGGCCGGCCATTGCCACCTTCCGCTGGACTTGGCAGTGCCTCCCCTCCCGGCCTACCCCTCCTTCCCTCCATCTCCCCCCGGGCTGGGCTCTCCTTACACTTAGCGGAAACATGGTAGCCACCCAGTGGGGCTGGGTGACCCTCGGCAGCATCGAACCCAGCTGACACCAGGACCAGGTCCGGAGAGAACTCTCGGGCGATGGGCATCACGACCATCCTGTGAGGGTGCCAGATGCGGGGGCTCATCACTCTGTGCAGGGCTGCCAGGGGCAGAGGCCCCTCCCCACCAGATTCACTGTGGGTACCCTGCTCTTAGGACCCCAAGACACCCGATTGCCCAGCAGGAGAAATGGATCCCTTCAACCTCCTTGACCTGGCTGGCTACCCATATCCCTAGCACAGCCTAAGGACTCGGCCACCCAGAGCTCTTCAATGGCAAAAGGCAGGAAGGAATCAAGGATGGGGCACCAAAGGGAAGGAAAGTGTGTGTGCGAGGGGGGGCACTGGTAGGGGTGCCTGGGGGGCACTGGGCAGGGCCACAGTGGGAGCAGATCACTAAGCCTTGGGGACCGGAAACCACTGGTACTCAGCTGCTACCCACTTTGGACTGAGTTGACCGCACCTCACCCCTCGCCACTGCGAGCTGACTCTCCTGAGGTCCTGGGCCATCCAGATCCATTCTTTCATCCTCTGCCCCTGCCAGCCCCCTCAGCTGCCTCCCACCATCCCTCACCCAACTCTGGGGTTCCTTTTGATGTGTTTCGAAGCCCTGGGCTTGGGGTACACAGATGCTAGGAAGCCCAGTCCAGGGCTCCTACAGAATTAGCTCTCACGGAGTATTTGAGACCCACTTCCAGGGTTCTCTTCTCCCAAATGGGGTGCCCCGGAGTGAAACATATAAGAGCTCCTAAACTGAGCCGAAAGCCCCTCTTCTAGAACGCCATTTCTTTTTTTTTTTCATTTATTAATGAGAGACGGAGAGAAAGTGCAGAGACACAGGCAGAGGGAGAAGCAGGCTCCATGCAGGGAGCCTGACGTGGGACTCGATCCTGGGGCTCCAGGATCAGGCCCTCCCGAAGGCAGGCGCTAAACCGCTGAGCCAGCTGGGCCGCCCTAGAATGCCATTTCTTAAGTAACTCTTCCAACATCCACAGCACCTGCTTTCTTTCTCCACAATTTCAACTCCCTATCTGCTGTACAAAGCCCACCTCCTCCAGGCAGCTTTCTTGCCTGAATGTGGCAGCTAGGCTCCCCCCACCCTGACTACCCTCCAGCACTCAGTTCAACACTGGCTCTTGGTAACATGTGACTTTATAAAGCACCCTTGACTTTTTCATTCTGCGTTTCCTGTCTTCTCATGGGGACTGGAGGCTCTTAGTGGCCAATATAACCGGGCTCTTCCTTTTGTCTCAGCCTGGAAGGCCCGCCCCAGGACTGGCTTACGATGTCCAGTAACTGGATGAGGACAGTTTGCCAAGGCAACCAATCACCCCCGGCCTGGTGCCATTGGGTAAAGGGGCAGGGAAGGGTGGCCTCGCTGGGAGACCTCCTCTGGGCACCCAGAGCCTTACCTGAAGGCGGCCAGGTACTCAGGATCCCCCATCGGGGGGTCCAAACCTCCTGCCCAGGCCACGTTGACATTGAAGCCCTCACCACTACCCGCTCCCACCTGGAAAAGAGGAAGCAAGGGAGATGAGGGCAGAGTCCCAGGAGAGGAATCCCGGGATGCCAGTGTGGCGAGACCAGCCCATCTGGCCTCTTCACTTCCAGATGGAGAAACGAAGGGTCAGAGAGGCTAACCAACCTGCCCAGGACCCCACAGCTAGTTGTGGCAGAGGCAGGGCCATGAGGGAGAGTCAACGGGGCTGGAAGGGAGCGTGTCGTTACCTCATCCACGGCCCCGCTGCCGGGGAAGAAGTTGCCATCATCATGGCGATGCAGGGAGATGTAGAGCACACTGGGGTCTTGGTAGAAGGTCTGCTGGGTGCCGTTGCCGTGGTGAACGTCCTGTGCGGGGAGAGGGACAAAGGGTCAGGGAAGTCCTGAAAGCACACGGACGGAGACAGGTGCAGGCTGGAAGGGTTCTGAGGGGCCCTCTTCTGAGGGTCAGGTCCCTAGACCAGGAGTAAGGACCACTGTTAAGGGCTCCCAAGTCTGGGCCTCAGCCTCTCCAAGTGTGCACATGTGTGTGCACAACCCTGGACATGGGCAGAGATCCCCTGAGACCCTTGAAGGGGGAAGGAGGCCTGCCAAGGGCCGGCCAGCCAGCGGGAGCAAGAAATGTATGGCACAAGAGAGAAGAGTCCAGGACGACGCGTGCCAGGGACCTCCGCCACTGTGTCTTGTCCAAGGTCATAGAGTGGTGCAGGTGACCAGAAAGCCAGCTTGCTTACAGAGGGGCGGGTCCATGAGGCCCAGGGCCTGCCCCTAGGGGAGCTGTGGCCCGACACTTGGTAATAAGTCACAGGATGGTGCGTGGGCACAAGTGTGGAGAGTGGAACGCCCCATTCACAGATGTTGCTGCAGAGTGGTACGGCTTGGTTAGATCCACGGACTCCAGAGCTAAGTGGGTTCAAATCCCAGTCTCGGGAGTTACGAGATGTGTGGCTATGTGCGAGTTACTTAACCTCTCTGAGCTCACATTCCTCATCGGAAACCAGGCTACAGTTAGAATCAAACACATCGCAGGTCAAACGGCTGTGTCTGGACGTGATTGGGGACACGCTGAGGTTACCGGCTACTACTGGGATTGGAGGGGACATGTGGCAATTACAATATCCACAGGAAGAAGCCAGTGGAGGCCGAAGAGCATTCGAAAGGCTCTCCCGCTGTGGGAGTTTGTGATGGTGGAGGGCCTCCCGGCAGCCCCCCATGTGGGGCTTATCTTCGCCCTCATTTTACAGAGGGAAGTGGAGGCTCAGGAGGCTAACGTGGAACTAGAAACAGGAAGCCAGACCCTGTGATGCCAGGCTCAGGGCTCTTTCCACTGGGCTCTCGGATCCGAAGGGGCTAGGAACCAGGACCTACCCAGTCCATGATAAGGATCTTGCTGGCCTTGCCCTGTTGTTGAAGCTGCCGGCAGGCGATGGCCACGGAGTTGAAGAAGCAGAAGCCCCTGGGAGGAGGAGAGAGAGGCTCTGAGAGCCCATCCCCGCTACCCCACCTCATGTCTCCACCTCTCCAGCCTCCTAGCCCCAGAGAATGCCCCCCATCTCACCCCTGTCCAAGCCTCCCCCCAGCCTTACATGGCCGTGGAATGGTCTGCATGGTGTCCTGGGGGCCGAACCACAGCAAAACCATTCTGGAAACAGAAAGAATGCTTGTCAGCCAAACGGCCGGCACCTGGACCCACATCTCCATGAAGCTGCCCACAATCCCAGGCTCATCCCTTTTTTTTTTTTTTTAATTTTTTAATTTTTTTATTTATTTATGATAGTCAGAGAGAGAGAGAGAGAGAGAGAGAGAGAGAGAGAGAGAGAGAGGCAGAGACACAGGCAGAGGGAGAAGCAGGCTCCATGCACCGGGAGCCCGACGTGGGATTCGATCCCGGGTCTCCAGGATCGCGCCCTGGGCCAAAGGCAGGCGCCAAATCGCTGCGCCACCCAGGGATCCCCCAGGCTCATCCCTTGAGTAGAGGCCATAGGACACTAGCTGTCTGCAGCTCTGAACGTGGCCAGGCTGGATCTGAGGCGCCCCGGGGCTTGGCCCCCCAGGCCGCACATCCTCTGCTTTTAGGCTGGCCGTGAACACAAACCCCCCACCCGGGAGTGTCCTGGCTCTTATCACTTCATACCAACAGCTACTATTTGTTGGGTAAAAGCTACACGGCCGGCACCGGGCCCCGGCACTCTATAAACGCAGGACTTCATCCTGACATCTCTCTGAGCTAAATGTCATCTAGTCCTCACAACACCTCCAGAAGACAGACGTGACTGTCTCCAGTTCACAGCTGAGGAGAAATCTGAAGCTTGGGCAAGTGAAATAACTATGGGAAGCTGCTCACTTGTAAAAGGGTGAAGCCCGACCTTGAAGCTCAGCGCTGAGCTCTGGATTGCATGCCCCGCTCCCCATCCCCGAGGAGGAGCTAGGACGCTGAACAGGTGGGCACCCTGGGCTGTGAGCTCTTCAACTTCAACAGTGCGGGGTGCGGGCCTCAGCACAAGCCCCTGTAAGGCGCTCAGCCCAGAGCAAACACGCACAGGCACCAACCCTAGCTATAAAACTTTGGGATTGGGATCCCTGGGTGGCGCAGCGGTTTAGCGCCTGCCTTTGGCCCAGGGCGCGATCCTGGAGACCCAGGATCAAATCCCACATCGGGCTCCTGGTGCATGGAGCCTGCTTCTCCCTCGGCCTGTGTCTCTGCCCCTCTCTCTCTCTCTGTGTGTGTGACTATCATAAATAAAATAAAATAAAAATAAAATAAAAATAAAAACTTTGGGATTGCCATAAATAAAATCTTAAAAAAATAAATAAATAAAAGGACACCTGGGTGGTTGAGCATCTGCCCTTGGCTCAGGTCGTGATCCTAGGGTCCCGGGATCGAGTCCCGCAACGGGCCCCCTGCAGGGAGCCTGCTTCTCCCTCTACCTGTGTCTCTGCCTCTCTCTCTGTGTCTCTCATGAATAAATAAATAAAATCTTTTAAAAACAAAACCAGAAAGACCTCAGGATTGCCAAGGACCAATCTGCCAATGGACAAAGGTCCAGAGATGCTGTGCAGCCTCCCAGTGATCACACAGCAGGTCTGTGTTTAAGTGATCCTGAATAATTAGGACCCTGGCTCTCTTAGAGACCAGTAGCTTGACTCCCTACCCAACAGCACCAGGACGAGCATAAAGGTTCGAGTCTCAGCTTGGTCCCCAGAGCTCTCAATTTCCCTTCCAAAACCCTGTGGGGATATCCGGGCAGGAGGAGCGAGAGGCCTAGGGCTCTGGGTCTGGCCTTCCCCTCTGCCCCGCGTCCTGCTACGTCCTCTGTGGCTTACCCACTTTCCACTCCAACCTCCTACCTTTAGCTCACGGGAAGCTACTTTGAAGGCGAGGTCGGTGACGCTGCCGGCGGCCCAGCGGGCTGCGTTGGAGGAATGCAGCTCATTCCAAATGGTATCGGTATCCACCTGTGGGGGCCAGAGTCAAGGCCTGCATCATCCGAGGCCCGCCCCACAGGAGCCAGGGCCCACTTGGGCGGTGCCCACCCCATGGCCAGGACCCCAGGGGCAGGGAGCTGGGCAGACAGTGCTGCCTCCCCAGTGCCCCACCACCCAAAGGCAAGGCCTCCTGTGTCCCCCAATCCCAGCATGACTTCTCCTTCCCAGCTTCAGTCCATATCACCAGCCCGTATGTGGCCAGCACTCTGCCGGCAGCATCGCGCCTGCCTCCCCGGTCAGAGGAGGGGGCATGGCGTTACCTGGGCGGGACTTGGGGTTTGGACCGGGAGGGGGTTTTAAGCCCCAGCTGACTCTGCTCAGGCCCTGCGGGACGGTCGGAGCTCGAGGGGCCGTCTGCACCACTGTCTTCCACTCAGGGCCCCTAGCCCAGGCTGGGAGGCCCCCCAAACCCAGTCCCTGGGCCTCAAGGCTAGGGAGGGGCCGGGGGGCATGATGGGGAGATGGGGAGGGCGAGGCGGACCAAGAGAGGCGAGGAAGGCAGAGAGAGTCGCAAGAGGCTGGAGAAAGAGAGAGAGAGAGAGAGACAGAGGGAGAGGAGGGAGGAGAAAACAGAAGCAACAACAGTTGGAAAAATCAGAAAGTGGCAAGAAATGGGAAGTTGTGAACAGGGCACTGACTGGCTCCCAAACAGCCCCCCAGCTACGGCTCCCACTTCCCTCCAAAACTAGGCCTCCGTCCCCTGCCCCCACACTCCTGGCAGGGGCACCACCAGAGGAGGCAGGGAGCCCCCTAAGCAGACTGAACGGGGACGAGGGGACGCCGGGCTGGGGGAGAGAACGGCCTGGGTCACCGAGGACACTGGAGGCACCCCCACAGCCCCGGAGGCCAGGCCGGCGTGTGAGGAAGGGCGGATCCCGACCACCACCAGGGTCTTACGAAGGGAGACGATCCCCTGCTCCTTGAGCCTCACTCAGCATTTACCAAACACCTTCTAGGTGCAAGCCAAAGGGCCCCCCACTCAGGAGACACTGATGGGTGGAGGACACACCTGCCCATAGGGAGCTTCTAGCCGGCAGAGGAGCATTAGGGGAGAGCCCCTGGCCCAGTGGGTCTGGCAGGACCACAAGAACAAGCAGGCAGGGGCCGGGCCTGGGAGAACAGAAGGGGGGAAGCTCCGAGAACCCATGGCAATGGCCGCTCAAGACCCCCCGGGCACACTTACCCCTACCCCACCACACGGCAGCATCACAAACATCCGCTGTGCCAGGAGCCCTGTGGGGAGAGGCCCAGTGTGTGTGAGCTGAAGCCCCTCGGCCCCGGCCTGCCTGGGAGCAGAGAGCCCTGAAGAGGGCTGGAGGCGGGTGCACAGGGTGGGGGCCAGCAGGGGGACCAGGGCGGTGTGGGGACACCCAGGATGCTGGAGGGACAGGCTGCGCGGAGCCGGGACAAGAGAACACAGGGCACGGGTGGACTGGGTGGGTCAGGGGACAAGTGCAGGTTCCAGGCGCTCCTGGGCCCCTACCTGCCAGCTTCCCGTTGTCCAGTTTGAGGCGACTGAGCGGGTTGGTGCCGTAGAGGAGCACGTGCCGCTCCGAGTGCACTGACTGCAGCTCCTCCAGGGAGGCCTTCCGGCCCCGGAGACACTGAGGGAGGGTGCGCAGAGCTCCTGAGCCCCTGCTCGCCGCCTCCCTGCCGTGACCACCACCCGCCAGGCCCCTGCTCACACTGGCTCCGGGGCCTCCCACCCCCTTCCTTCCATTACACGCCTGCCTCGTCCAGTTGTGCAGCCCCCACCCTGCATCCTCACCTCGCACTGGCTCCGGAGGCCCCGCTCCTGCAGCCGGGACCAGATGCTCTGGATGCGGCCCGCGTGCTCCGGGTGCCTGCTGTTGTCCCCGCAGGAACACTGGTGCTTCAGCATCACCGAGTCGTAGACCAACCCTGCCGAGAGCCTGGCTCAGGGCCCAGGCCCGGGGAAGCCCCCGCACCTCCCCTCCATTGCATGGCTGCACACACTCACACCCACGTACAGGCTGACCTGAACCCCCCACCCCACCCCCACCCCACCCCCACACACACAGTGCCGCATACCCCATCCTGCCCCTCGGCCCTTCATACCACACACCCCAGCCTCTTGCCCGGGCAGCCTCAGCTCCCCCCCACCCCACACGCCCCAGCCAACACTGCTGCCATACAGCCACTGCCTTCCTGCCACACTGGCCCTCCTCCCATGACTCGGGATGGCTACCAAGACCTCAAGAGCTCACAGCCTAACGGGGTCTCACCCTGGATGTCATGACCCAGACAGGCTGCCAACGGGGAGTGAGAAGAGAAAGAATTCCTCAGAAACCCCCAAACCAAGAGCTGGGAAGCCCACAGTGACCTGGGGCCATGTGACAAGACAGATGCAGTTTTGGGGAAGTGACTGTTTCAGCCCGACCAGCGGGACGCCTAGAGGGCCCTGCGCAGGCGGGTGGGTCTCTGTCAGCAGCCTGGGGACATCAGGATCTTCAAAATGCTCACATCACTTGACCCAGGGATGCCACTCCTTAAGAGCAGCCCTCGGGAAACAATGCCAGGGCCGAGTGAAGATTTAGGAACAAGTGAATTCACACCAGGAAGAAAAAAAATCAGAAACCACCTAGCTGTTCAACCCCTGTAATAAATCTTCAAAAAAATAAATAAATAAAATACTGTGATGAAACACTATGAAAATCTTGCTTTTAAAGGTTAATTGTGGCTCAGCAGTTGAGTGTCTGCCTTTGGCTCCGGTTGTGATCCCGGATTCCCAGGATCGAGTCCCACATCGGGCTTCCTGCATGGAGCCTGCTTCTCCCTCTGCCTATGTCTCTGCCTCTCTCTCTGTGTCTCTCATGAATAAATTAAATCTTTAAAAAAATAAAAAAATAAATAAAGGTTAATTGCATCATGATGCACCTGTAACATCTCACAGAACAAAGTGGGGCACAACACACAAGCGTGCGTACGGTATCTGTGTATAGCGGGGACGAAGGTGGCGCTGAACTACAGCAGCTTCAGGAGAGGCTGCCCGGGGTGGTGGGATGCTGGCTGGTGATTTTTATTTTATTCTTAGGTACTTCTGTATTTTTCAATGTTTCGAAAATGCTCTGGAGCTCTTTTTTTGCAAACAGAGCAGCCGTAATAAGTATTTTTAAAGGTCTGAACTAGTTGTCAGGGGACGCGGGTTCTTAACCTGGCTCCACCGGCAGCTTGCTCTTTGACCGTGAGCCTGTCACCTTGGTTTCCCGAACCCAGGTCTCCTCGTCTGCAAAACGAGGACGACCACCCACTCGGCCTGCGCCGTGGATGCCACGCAGATCTAACAGGGCCAAGAGAGCGCTCCATAGCCTCTGAGAACGTCCTGAGGGGCGTCATGACACGACACGGACTTGTGCCCGGGCCCCCGTGTGCTCCCAGCCCCTTGTCCTGCCTCACTCTGATCTAGGCCTTACCTGTGGTGAACGGCAGGGTCCTGGCAGGTGTTTCTGAGCTGGGCAGGACACGGGCCTGACTGGCGGGCTCTGGAGTCGGCATGGAGGCAGGCGCAGCTGGGGACGACTGAGCCCTGGACAAGGGCCGGTGACTGCCCTGGGCCAGGGGAAGCAGCACAGAGTCCCCAGTTCCTCCCCGGGGGAGCCGTCCAGCCAGTCGCTGCTGCTCCCACAGGAACACCTGAGGAACGCAAGGGGCCTCAGTCTCCAGAGTTCCGGATTCTGCTCCATGTGCTTCTGCCCAAGACCTTGGAAACCTCCAGGCAGGTCCCTTCCGGGAGAGATTCCAGGATGCTTCTAGCCCTGCCTCCTGGCTGGGCTCTGGCTTTTGATCTCGGAACCCTCGGCACCGCCCCACTGCCACCCTCGAAGGTCTGTGGCCCAGAATGACCACCCTGCGCCACCAGTTCTTTGGACCCTTGGGACTCCAAAGCCAGAACCCAGGTAAAGGGCCTCGGGCCAACTGCCCAGGGACACAGGGACCTGCGTGAGCCACTGCACACGTGTGGACTGTTGCCACGTGCCATGGGCTGAGTTGTGTCCCTGCCACTTCCTATTCAACAAAGTCCTGAGCCCTGCCCCAGTACCTCAGAATGTGACCTTATTTGGAAACAGGCGATTACAGAGGTAATCGAGTTAAAATGAGGTCATTAGGGTGCGCCTCCATCCGATACGACTTTTGTCCTTATAAAAAGGGAAAAGTTGGACACAGGCAGGCATAGGGGGAAGATGATGTGAGGACACAGGAAGAAAACAGCCATCTATAGCCGAGGAGAGAGGCCCGGAAGAGCTCTCAGAAAGAACTAACCCCAGTGTCCGCCTTCCAGCCTCCAGAAGCTGGAGAAAATTTCCTGCATTTTCGGCACCTGGTGTGTAGTACTTGTTACAGCAGCCCTAGCAAACTCATACCCCACGGCCTGACTCACACTGTGAGAGCACCCTGGCTGAAGCGTTGGTGCCTGGCTCTGCCCCATTTCCTGTCCCGGCCCCCTTCTTGGACACGGTACAACCAGTCACAGGGGAGAGGTACTAGGGCAGGGATGTGCACTGCTCTGTGAAAGGCCAGCCTCACCACTGGACAAGGGACGTGGCTCCCCACGCTGAGACTGGCAGGCTGCCAGAGGGTGTAAGCGTATGTATGCACCCGTGTGCATGGGTACGTGTGTGTCTGCACCTTGGTGTGGCTCTGGAAGGACAACCATGGGTCCCAGAGTTGTCTCCTGCACCGATAACCTAGCTCCGCCCCTTATCTATGCCAGGTCCCAGAGTCTCCCGACTACACCTTCCCAGGGACGCGGGCACCGCCCTACCTGCTGGTGCTGCTGGAGAGCAGCCGGGCCTCTGGTGTCGTGCTGCCCATGGCTTGACTCCCTGTGTTCCAGGCCGTCATCCCCCACTGGCACCACTCCCCCACCATCTGTCTCCAGGTCCTCAGCGGAGGGTATCTGCCGCAGTCGGGGCTTCTCACTTGGCTTGGCTGGCCTCTGGGGAGGGGAAATGCCCACTGAGAAGCCAGGCTGGAAGGCAGGGTGTGGCGGGCCCTGGTGGCCTGGGCTGGGTGGCCACTCATCTTGCTGGGACTTGAGCGGCCACGCAGCTCTTGGCCCTCAGGAGCCATATACTCTCTCTGGCCCTCCAGGTCCCAGCCCTTCCTAAGCCTCCCCTTCTTTCATTCCCTAGGGCCCCACTGAAGCAACCCCTCATCACCTCCCCTAGCCAGTTCCCCTCACCTTGATCAGCTGGACGTGCGGTTTGAGCCGGTCCAGGCGGGGCTGCAGGGGGCCCAGCGGTGGGGGGGCGGTGGCGCTTGGGGGCAGGGGCTCTGAGCGGGTCCGGCTTAGTGGCCGGTGGAGGCCCGACCCAGAGAGCCGCTCGGTGGTCAGTAGGGACTGGGCAAAGTGGAAGGGCAGGGGCCCAAGCCCGGGCACTGGAAAGAACGGGGTGGGGGTGGGGCATAAGGAGGGAACCAAAGGGAGGAATGGAAGGCAGCAGAGGCAGGGGGCAGTGGCGGTCGGTCGGGGTGGGGGAGAAGAGGGGCAGGGGCTCAGCAGGGAGACGCACAGGATGGGGGGCTGCACAAGGGGCCGGAGGCCCCTTCCCGAGCTGGGCCCTGAGCAGGATGCAGGGACCAGCCCCTCCCCTTGAGAAGCCCTGGAACTCACCCGTCAGCAGAGGGGTGTGAGAAACGGAGGGATCCAAGAGGAGAATGGGCTGCAGTCGAGAGGGCAAGGCGCCCCCAGCCTCGGGCTCCAAGCCATGGGGCAGGAAGAGGGGAGCATGGGGGCCCCCCAGGACCGGCCCCCGAGGGCCCAGAGTCGGATGGGTCCTGCGGTCAGCATCAGCCTGCAGAGAGGCAGGGAGGAGTCACGATGGGCATGGGGGGGGGGATGATCCCCCGCGCAGAGAGCAGTGGAGGTGCTGGGGGGAGAGGGGAGGAGGAGGGAGCGACAGAAGCTGGGGGCTCGCAGTGGGGGAGGGCGCCTCAGCCACTCACCCTGGCAGGGGCGGGCAGCCCCAGCGTGATTGCGGGCAGCAAGGACACTGTCGGCAAGGCGAACGGGGCCAGAGAGGTCTCCTGCAGCCGCAGCCGCTGGCCCAAGAGCGCCTGCCATGGGGAGCAGGGCAGGGGTCACTGGTCCCAGACCTCTACCCCTGGGCCTGCCTTCCCCAGAAGCCCCAGGAGGCTCAGGTCCGGGCTGCCCACACCCTGCGGCCCCAGCTCGGTGAGGGCTGCTCGCTGTGGAGAAGGCTGAGCCTCAGAACTGCCCCCGCAGAGCCCAGCCTGGCATGGCCTTACCTCGGAGCCCAGGACGGGGTTGGGGCCATGCTCGCTGTCATTAGGGGAACTGCAGCCTGACGCTGGCGTGCTGCTGCTGCTCGGGGAGGAGTCTGGGGGAGGGGATGCGCAGTCAGGGCCCAGGGCCCGGAGAACAGGGCCAGTCCCCCTTCCCCGGCGGGGGCCTCTGCTCCCTGCTTTCTTCCCAGGACGGCAGGAAGCAGGCAGGAAGCAGGCAGGCCGCCGCTAGCCTCCAGCGCCTTTGGGCACATTGTTAAGGTGCCCCTTCTTCTGGGCAGACGTCAGGGTAGCCAGCGGAGCGGGCCCTGGCTTGCAGCCCCAACTCAGCGCCCCCGCAAGCGTGTAGGACACATCCTCTGGAACCACGCACTGCAGCCCTGTGCGGGCGGGACCTGACCCAAGGGGACACCAGGGCCACCTCCGCCCACCCTGCGGCCCCTTACCACCCAGGGTCTCTGCGGGCCGCCGCCGGAGACTGGGCGGGGCGCTCTCCTTTCTGAGCAGCGGATTCTTCCTCCGTTCCAGGGACTTCTTGGGCTTGTAGCGCAGCTTCAGGTTGGGCTCAGAGACTGCGGGAGGACCAGCGTTACTTGGCCCCACACCACCCTCCTCCCTCCTGCTCACCTCCGAGTTAAGGCAAGAGAAGGCAGGGTCAGGGAGACAAGCACTGTGGGCCGACCTTCTGCTGCCCTCTCCGACCCGTCCACACTCCCCACCCATGTCCTGCCCCCCTAACCCCCACCCCCGGAACGCCTCCACCTGCCGGTCCCACTCACCTGTCTTTCGGAGAGGGAAGTGTTCCGGGGGGTCACTGGGGAGGCTGGGCACAGGAGGCAGAAAGCTGCTGAGCATAGAGCGAGCAGCTCCTTCCGTCTCCAAGGGCTCGAGAGTTCTGTGGAGTTAAGGCCAAGCCGGCTTCAGAGGGGCAGGGACGCCCAGAGGCCTGGCAGCCAAGGGCTCTGCAAGGGCCCTTTCTGAGCATGGGCCCCCAGGACCTGCTAGGGGAGGCAGCAGCTGACAGGGCCAGGCGTTGTGCGTGCGGCCGCAAGAATAGGGGCCATCTCCAGGTGGCAGCACCGGGCCACCCCCCATCCCGGCAGCCTGCAGTGCAGGCCTCTGATCCAGGCATGGGACCCAGGGTCCCAGGGTTGGGGTGAGGGCCAGTCACCCTGGGGCCTCTGTCTCCTGTGGGAGGAAACTACTCTAGGGATCAGGATATTTTTGTGCTCAGGGGAAGTCATAAAGAGAGAAGGGATAGGACACCTGGGTGGCCCAGGGGTCGAGTCTGCCTTTGGCTCAGGCTGTGATCCCAGGGTCCCGGGATCGGGTCCCGCATCAGGCTCCCTGCAAGGAGCCGGCTTCCCCCTCTGCCTGTGTCTCTGCCTCTCTTTCTCTGTGTGTTTCTCATGAATAAATAAAATCTTTTAAAAGAAAGAGAGAGGGCAGCCCAGGTGGCTCAGTGGTTTAGCGCCGCCTTCAGCCCAGAGCCCAGGGCCCGATCCTGGAGACCCGGGATCGAGTCCCACATCAGGCTCCCTGCATGGAGCCTGCTTCTCCCTCTGCCTGTGTCTCTGCTTCTCTCTCTCTCTCTCTCTCTCTCTCTCTCTCTCTCTCATGAATAAATAAATAAAATCTTAAAAAAAATAAAAAAATAAAAGAAAGAGAGAGAAGGGACTCATATAGGAAGAAGCAAGCAAGCGTAGTATGGCTGTGGCGGGGGTGGGCAGCTAGGATGGACTTCAGGTGGGGTGCAGAGAGAGTCACAGGAGAAAAGGAGGCAGGTGTCAGGTGGGAGGAGAGGGCCTGGGGCAGCATTACAGTTAGAGATGAGGGGTAAGGGTCTGGTGACGGGCAGCTGGGAGGCAGAGGGAGCAAGTATGAGGGCTCACTGGTTGACACTTTGGGAGGAGGGGGCATGGCAGGGACACAAGACAGCAGAGTGTTACCTGTAGGGAATGCTGGGGCTACTGGGATGGACTGTTCTCTCTAGGGCTGCCTGCTGTTTCTTAAGAATCACCTCCGCCAGCTTCTGCTTGACCACGCTGCTGGCTACGGCACCTATGGGGGGAGGCGGGCGGGAGGGGGGAGGAGAAAATCCTGAGTGGGCTGGGGGTGGGCGGACGGTGGCCTCCCTGGCACACTGTCTGCCCATTGCCCATCCACCCCTGAAGTTCCAGGCAAGAGCCAAGCCTGAGCGCCCCCCCGCCCCCACCTTCACAAGCAGAGCCCAGCGAGCACAGGGAGGCCCAGGCCGGCGTGGCTCCCACCCCCGCCCCCGCGCGCCCACGGCCAGGCCAGGGACACCAGGCCCGGGAGGCCTCCATCCTTACTTCGCTTGCTCTTGTCTTTATTGAGAAGCTGCCGCAGCTCTTGTTCCTGCCGCCCCACCTGCAACTGGGGCCCCGGCGTGTCCATGGGGAGCTGTGGGCAGGGCCGGCCGCCCGGGGAAGGGGCAAGGAGTTGGAGACTGAGCTGAGGGTCACGGGAGGCTGGAGGGAGGGCGGGGGGCTGGGGGCTGAGCTCGAGGCCGCCTCGTGTGCGGGGAGCTCCGACTTTACCCTCATGGGCTCCGCTGGGCGCTGCTGCAGGCCTGCGAAGAACAGGTGGTGGTGCAGGCGCTGGGGATGCTGCAGGGCCAACAGCGCGGGCTCGGGCGGGGGCTCCACCGGGGGCCGCTGGCCCACCCGCAGGTCCATGGGCTGGGGCTGAGGGCCTGGCGTGTCTGCACGGGGCCTGGGGAGGCCTGCGGGCGCACAGAGAGGGCACGGTGAGGCCCGCTGGGCCGCCCGTACGCACGAGGTAGGGGAGTCTGGTTCCCTTTTACCGGGTGGAAGGAGGTCATGTAACCACGTGGTCATGTACCACGTTCGGAGGTAGTGCCCGAACGGCGCCTTCTGACTCCGAGCAATGCTTTTCCACTAAACGTGTTGCCTCTCCAGGGCGGGAGCTGGGAGGATACGGTGATGGGCTGCAAGCCCTATGGGGGAACATTCTAGGCCCCGCCATCTCCTTCCCTTCTCCGCTGGAGTGAATATGGCCAGGCTGTCCCCTAATGAACCACGCTCAAAGACAGCTATCCCCCCAGCAAGCAGTCCCCTTTGTTCTGCCTCCAACCCCAGAGGGCCTCAGGGGCTCTCCCAGTGGCCACCCTCCCATACTCAATCCTAGGCCACAGGAAGAAGAGACAGTTCCTTGGGACACCTGGGTGGCTGAGCAGTTGGGAGTCTGCCTTGGGCTCAGGGTGTGATCCCGGGATCCTGGATCCAGCCCCGCATCGGGCTCCCCACACGGAGCCTGCTCCTCCCTCTGCTTCTGTCTCTGCCTGTGTGTCTGTGTCTCTCATGAATAAATAAATAAAAACTTTTAAAAAAGAGAGACAGTTCCTTAAACCTACAGCCAGCCCTGGCCCACCACCCTGAGCCTGCACAGCCCTGTTGGCAGCTCACTGCCCCTGTGCCCTGGGGGCCTGCTCCGGGTTCCCTCAAGCTCAGCCGCCTCTTCTCGAGTGTCCTGCACCCACACCCAGGAGTACCTTCCCAAGGCCGTGGGGGCAGGAGCTATTTATAACTAGCCACCAGACCGGGTTCTATGCCCACACAGCCAGCTGGGCAGGCTGGATGGAGCAGCTGGAGATGCTCGGAGGTAGAGTGTCTGCAGGGCCATTATCGTGGAGAAGGGGAAGCAGTGGGGGTGAGAGCAGGTGCCCCTAGGACAGAGCACCCAACTGGGGAAACCTTTCCAGAGAGGCCTCCTTCAGCTCATCCAACAACGCTAGGCACCCCCCGTCAGGGCAGCCACAGGGAGCCTCTGCACCCAAGGCTCAGGACGGCCAGAAGGCACCGTGATGGAGCACCAGCCGGGGAGCCAGAGAACAGTCTCCAGGCCCAATTCAACCGTTACTCCCCGTTACCTTAAATCCAAGCACGGGTGAAGGCACGTCTGCAAAGCCCTTTCACCCTGAAGCCCCCATAGGCCCTGGGAGGTGGTTATTGCTACTCCATTACCCCAAATGTGGAAACTGAGGCTCAGCGGAAGGGACCTCTCCAAAGCCGCCAGGCGAGAGGCACAGTGAGCATGGGTTCTGGTCCTGCCAAGGCCAGTGCTCTGCGTCCATTTTCCCATGGACTTTCAGGAAGTCACCACCCCTCATGGGGGTTTCTCACTGGACAAAGGAAGAGGGGTCTGCAGTGGGCTGCTGCTAAGGGGCATCCGTTCTAACATTCTCTGATCGTGAGATAGAGACAAGAGAGGAGCCACGCAGGGAGGTGCCCACACGACTCTCCAGATATCAAGAGGCCAGAGGGGACAGCTGTGCCCCCAGATGAGCCCTGCAGCAGGCGACACACGGCTTCCACGTCCCCACCTCTCGTTCATGCATCCACCCGGGGAACCCAGATTCTCATTCCACTTGAATCCAGACCTCTGATAACACACTCTCTTAACACACTCCTGCCAGGAAGGATCTTAGATCTCCCACCTAAGGGTCTTAAGTGTCCTGGCTTCCTGGGGTAACTCTCCTGACGATGTAAGAGGGACTTCAGAGACCCCAAAGCAGGCCACAGGACACGGTGCTAGCTGCTTTAGCCTGACACAGAGTGAGAGGCCCCATCCCTCCCTCTGAGCACGGGGCGCCACGGCCTCCAGAGCACAAGGCTGCCAAGAATTTGGGAGGAGCCCCGCCGGCACCCCAGAGCTCGGGATCATTTAGCATTTGGGGGTCTCCCCTCCCTGGTGCTAAGCCAGCTTCTCTTTGTCTCCTACATCTGAATACAGCCCTTCGTCTCCGCCACCACCTCCTATCCCGTCACAAGCCCATGTACCTTTTACCTGTGAGCTTTTACTCCATGACCCACTCCCCACCCCCACCCCCCACCGGCAGGACCGTCCTGGGCACTCGGATTCTACTTTTCCATATCCTACCCTTCCTACCAATCTTCCCTCTTCCCTGCACTCGGCCCACGGCCCCGCGTCCCTCCTGCCTCTGGATTCTAATCCTGCTGGCAGGTCGGTGCCCTGTAAGCCCAGCATGGGCAGGTACCGTCGCAGTTCAGCTCCAAGGGCAGGAACTTGGTTTGTACATTTCTCACTATCCCAGCACCTAGAACAGTACCTGGCACGTGACAAGAACCGAGTAAATACTGGTTGAATCAATGAATCAATCGCTGTAGCCGTCCCCCTCTAAAATGCCCAGGAAGGTGTCCTGGCACAGAGAGGAGGTTCATCAGTGTTTCTTTCTCCAATTTCTTTTCTTTTCTTTTTTCTTTTTTGGTTATTACACGTGTAGGAGGACTACATGACGACAACAGGTGTGACTTTAATATTTCTGTTGTGCCCTCACTTGGCACTGGTTACGTTCTGGGTTCTACTCCGGTTTCCCTTTTTACTGGTGTGTCCTATCTCCCCAACCTTCCTATAAGCTTTTGGACAACCAGGAGTGATGCAAAGAGGGTGCAGGCCTTCGCTTCTCCCTGCCATACCTAACCGTTAGGCACCAGGCAGCCAGCAGGCCCTCCGTGGACACCGGCAGGGGTTAAAGAGGGGCAGCCGTGAGCCACTCCAGCCCCAGCCCCACCGGCACATCCTGAACCAGGCCGCAGCCGAAGTCCCAGCACAGCCCATCAGCAGAGGAGGCGAGGGGCACTGAGAGAACGAAGGGGAGGGGTCCTTCCCCTCCCACCTGGGCAGCAGGGGGCATTTCCACCTGCGAGGGCTGCTGTGCCCACTTTGCAGGGCCCGGATGAGGACTGCAGCCAACAGACAAGAAGCAGGCGCCTCGCCCAGAGCCTGATGCGAGGCGGGGGTCTGAGTGTAAACTTCAGCTTCCTACTTGCCTTCCTGTTTCACTGCAGCCAGCAAGGACAAGAAGAGCATCCTGCCTTTCCTTTTCCTGTTGTGCTCCCCAGCAGTGGGACCAGCCAAGACCCAGAGGTGCCCCCTCTTACCCCACTGCTCACCACACCCCCTGCACGGAACCCCGACCTCCCAACCCTCGCACCCATCAGCTGGCTACCCTGCTTCTCTCGCCCCTCAGCTCCTTGCCCTTCTCATGTCCTCTGCAGCCTCATGTGGCACTCCCCACCATGGGCTCCCTCAGGCCCGCCTCTTACCTGTGCCAGGGGACCTGGGGCAGTGGGCACCCGGGCTCACCTGGGTCCCATCTGTAGAGAGAAGAGAGAGGGCATGAAGGGGCTGCAGGGAAGGGGTGGGGAAGGGGTGAGAGGGCCGGGCCAGATGGGCTTCCCGCCCCAGCAAGAGGCCCCACTCCAGCCTCAGCACCCCAAACCCACATCAGAAACTAACCAAAAAGCGAGGACTGCGCCCCATTCTTTTCCTCAAATTCCCATGCCCTATGAGAGCACCTGCCAGCCCTCTCTTCCTCATCCAGGTCACGCAGTGACTCAGGCATCTCGCCTTGCTGCAGCCCAGTCCACCCAACAGTGCCTTCAGCCCTCATAGGTGTGCTCAGATACCATCCTTCCAGGGCCCGGGGTTCCATACCCCAAAGGACAAGAGAACCGGCAGGGGAGGTGGCCGGAGGTGGGAGAGCGCTGCTGGTGAGGCTACCAGGAGGGAGATGGGGAGAAGCAGGCAGGCCCAGGGAAGGGTAGCCGGGGGCTGCTCAGAGGCTTCCCAGGTGGGAGCAGATAGGAGCAGGTGGGAATGGGGAGCCTTCCACAGTTGGGGAGGGACTGGATCATGGCCTGAAGGTCAAGCCAGAAGCGGTGGGAGCTGTGAAGTAGCAGGTCTGGAAGACAGCCAAGGAATCCCTTTCCTCCTGCTGCCCTGTCCCGTGTCCTGCAGCCTCTTTCTCCCATAGATAAGAACCTCTCGGGGCACCTGGGTGGCTCAATGGTTGAGCGTCCGCCTTTGGCTCAGGTCATGATCCCAGGGTCCTGGGATCAAGTCCCACATCAGGTTCCCCACAGGAAACCTCCTTCTCCCTCTGCCTGTGTCTCAGTCTCTCTCATGAATAAATAAATAAAATCTTTAAAAAAAAAAAAAGAAAGAAAGAAAGAAAGAACCTCTCAGGCTTTTTTTTTGAGGGGTGGGGGGATCATCTGAAATAGAAGTCTTTCCTTTTGGAAATGGTCACCTCTCCCAGGCTCATAGACCGAGACCAGAACCTGCCCCCCTCTTCCCATTCAGAACCCATGAAACCCCATGGCAGGTCGCAAGCCGGCCAGTGGGGGAGGCACGAGGTTGCCCAGCGGCCCACTGAGGCAGGGAAGGACAGAGACGAGGTCTGAGGTCCCCTGTCCAAGACGGACACCTTTCCCTTCTGCTGTCCCAGCTCAGGGCCGAGGGGACAGGAGTCCAGGAGGCTGGAAGGCCACCTGGAAGTGGCACTTGGTGGACACACAGAAGACCTCCTCCAGCCAGCGCTGGGGCAGAAGGGATACTGACTGTCTGAATAGCAAGTGGCAGGTGCTGCTCTTCTGGGTCTGTGTTTAGGGGCAGCCACAGTTCCTCTTCCAGAAGCTGAAGAAAGGAGAACTCCCTGCAGGCAGGCACCGCTGGGGGAAGGGGCAGCTCTAGGCACAGAGAGCCTCCCCCTGGCTGCCCTCAAACACCAGTGCCCAAGCTCCAGATGCTGACGTTTGGTGGGGAAGGACGGCTCCACCTATCCAAACTCTGCGCGCACCAGCCCCCTGGCTTCCTCCGGAAGCTCACCCCGACCTCCCTACTGCGCCCTCCCACAGCACCCACTGTATCCACCACCTCAACGCCCCACTAACGATGCTCTCCATGGTGTCACTCGCAAGCCGTGCCCGTCTGCACCTAACACCTTGCTGCACACATGCCAGGCTCTACTAGGAATGAGCGACTCAGGTGTCACGGACCCCCCCACACCCAGGCTCGGTCCCCTGACTAGGACATTGGAAGATTTCTCAAGGTTTGTGAGCCCCAAGGAACACTGGTTGGGGGAGGCAGCATCGTCTCCCTGGGGACGTGGGAACCCCCACTCTTGTGGGACCACCTCTTCCTTCGGCAGGACCTGGTCCCCCAGGAGAGGTGTCTGAACTATGCTCCCATGGGCTGTGTCGGGCCCAGAGTTGGCGCCTCCAGCCCCCCCATTGGGAGTTCTGTCCTATATGCCCTCGGTCCCTGCCTGAGGCTGGTCAGCAGCAACCACGCTGGGGAGCAGAGCCAAGCCCTGCTCCCCTGGTAACCGTGGATTCAGGACACCATGCACTCTCTGGATAGGAGAAAAACTAATGGCCCTGAACTCTGGAGTGTTTATTACTGAGCCCGAAGGGCTGTTTTATGATGATGATCTATGATAGAAACCGTGTTCAGAAAAGCTGGGAGCACGCACGCATGTGTGTGCGCGTGTTGCCAACAGGGGCTGCTTCCAAAAGCAATTCCTGGAAAAAGTTCTGCTTCTCCCCCAACTCCCTGGCTCTGTGCTGACGGCCTTTGAGTTCCAAAGAGCCCAAAGCAACAAAAATAAAACCTCCCGTGTCCCAGAGAAAGGAAACATATCTCAGGGACCCCAGCTAATGAGTGAACTAAGCCCACAGGGTGAACACCCTGCAGGTGCAGGTTTAGCAATGATTTATCTGGGAGACACTTTTTCTCATTGTCCCCTCTCAGGGTGCTGTTAACCACTACTCTGGGGCTAGAGAGACAAAATCAGGAGTGAATGGACTCATGGGACTAAACACTACCTAGGCCTAGACCCTTCTCTGCATGGCTCCCAGCCAAGGTGGAGAGCTCTCCTTTCTGGATTCCTTGGCTGCCCCCTATTTCTACCTTTGGAAGCCACTGTAGATGGACTGAAGAGGCTGTTTACTTGGCACCGAGGCACCTGGGCCTACCGAGTTATATTCCCAAACTGGCACACCTGACCTCGCACAGAACCAAAGAGCCCCAGGAATACTGCCCCAGTGGGTCCACCCCCGCTCTCAGAAACCCCCAGGGCAGCCAGAAGGGCCCCCTGAACACCTATGCAAGCTGGTCTCCCACTCCTACTTTGTGGGCCTGGGCCTCCCCTATCCCACAGATGTCACTTCACCCCAAGGCACACGCAAGGGGGCTGGAAAGGTGAGCCCAGCCCACTCACCTGCTCTCCCAGGTGTTTCAGGCCCTCTGTCACGAGGAGGGCTTCCCTAGGAGCACTGCCACCCAGAAGCCCCTTGCCGAGGCCTCTGATGCCTTTTTTGAGGCTGTCCCCACCTTTCTGATCTCCTGATTCACTGAAGCAGAGTAGCAGGAAGGCCTGGGCCCCGGCGGGCAAGGGGAAAGCAGGCAGCGGCAGGAGGCCAGGGCCCGGGTTCAGGGCTGGCTCCCTCCACACCCCCACATCATGGCTCTGGTTCTGTTTCCCTGACACAAGCAGGACAAAGCTTGACTCTGCATGGGGGCTGGCAGAGAAGATGAAAGCTGGGGGTGAAACGGCTTCAGGAAGATCCAAGAATAAATAAACATGGGAAAGAACATCACGGTTGCCAGGCCCTTCTGACACAGAGTGAGCGCCGAGCATGAAGGAGAGGCTCTTCTCGAAGGAAGGCATTCGGGTCACAGAATCTGAGAACATAAGGAGCTGATGAGGGGGCTTTAGAGCTTATTCAGGCCAACACTCTCACTTCAAGGAGGAGGCAAGAGCTAGGCCACAGTGGCCCAGCAGGTGAGCGGTACAGCCAGGCCAGAGCAGGGCTGGGAAACCCAAGAAGGCCACCCCAAGGGCAGGCACCCAGTACTTGCATGTGAGGTCCCTGCTCCAGGGCCCGAGGAGATGGACATAGGAATGAAATCGGTTCTCACTTTCAAGGAGTTTCACATACAGTCCACAATTTTTTAAAAATTAAAAAATTGGGATCCCTGGGTGGCGCAGTGGTTTGGCGCCTGCCTTTGGCCCAGGGCGCGATCCTGGAGACCCGGGATCGAATCCCACGTCGGGCTCCCGGTGCATGGAGCCTGCTTCTCCCTCTGCCTGTGTCTCTGCCTCTCTCTCTCTCACTGTGTGCCTATCATAAATAAATAAAAATTAAAAAAATATATTAAAAAAAATTAAAAAATTGGGGGATCCCTGGGTGGCTCAGCAGTTTAGTGCCTGCCTTTGGCCCAGGGCATGATGCTGGAGACCCGGGATCGAGTCCTGCATCAGGCTCCTGCATGGAGCCTGCTTCTCCCTCTGCCTCTCTCTCTCTCTCTCTCTCTCTCTCTCTCTCTGTGTCGATCATGAATAAATAAAATCTTTTTAAAAAAAAATTTAAAAATAGACTACTTGTAGATACTGCAAAAGGTTCAGAGTCTCAAAAAGTGTTAAAACAAAAACTTTCTCAATCATCCAACTCCCAGGAACCTCCCTAGAATCAGCCCTTTTTTCATAATGGTTTCTTATCTCCCCCTCACCTTCCAGAAATTCTCTTGCTCATTATTAATTCGATTGCTCATTATCTTGGCATTAAGCTGCTTATTGCTCAGATTTACCTAGAACCCAGGGGGCTGGCTGCAAGCTGGCTAGAAAATCCTGCCACACAAAGTAATGGAATCAAGGCTCCACGGCACAGAGGCTTTGAGGTCAGATGGATGTGGGTTCAAACTCTGAATCCCCCAGTGACCGGCAGGGAGAGCCAGGGACTCAAGTGTAACCCGGTCAAGCCTCGGCTGCCCGGCTGGCAAGAAGACTGTGCACTTGGAAGAGGTCATCTGAGATTAGCAACACTGTGTGTGAAGCGCCCAGCACACGGTAGGTAGGTGGTAGGGGGCCCCTCAGGAGTCATGATTAATACCACTTGTCCCAGAACTTGGCGGTGACCTCCCTTCTGGCAAAAGCATTTCAGCATCTGGTCCCCCCCACCCCACCCTCTCCTCTTCTGCCACAGTCCATCTTCTGCCCGAGGCATTCCCTGCCCCATCTCTTAGGCCTGGCCTCTCCCCTCCCTTTCTCTTCCATCTGAACTTTTGTAAACACTCCTGTGGGTCAGGTGTTCTGAGTGCCTGACATTTGCTAATTCATCTAACCCTTGGGACAGGAGGTAGTTAGGAGTTTTTTTCTTTAAATCCCTAATATAGAGATCAGTAGACTGAGGCCCAGTAGTACTAAGTAACCTGTCTGAAGTCACAAAAGGTGGCTCAGCTGGGGCTTGGGCCAGGCCCCGGGCTCCAGAATCCATATTCTCGACCACTGCCCCCCACTGTCCTTCCCAGGCACTTCACAGGCCAACAGGTGGGGAGCAAGCACAAGGCCCGGGGCACAGGGAAAGATGGAAAAGCCACCCGGCCCCACAGAGAGAGACCAGTACGGGCAGCTGACCCCAGGCCTGGCCTGCTGGAGGTTCGAGAGCAAAAGCTGCCTGTTTCATCTTGGGGTCCTCGTGCGGCCAACCCTGAAGAGTCACTTATGTGGAGCAACTGCTGACTTGGAAGATTCCAAGCAATGATTTCGGACTGCATGTGGGAACAAGGGGCCGGTGACAGGTCGGGGTCCTGGAAGAGCACCCACTTCACTTTCCCGGGCTCTTCACTGCCTGCTGCACCCACTCTCTAGAAGCTTCTCTGAGATTCTCACTGGCATCCCGGAGCTGGCCTAGCTGCTGTAGGCCGAGGGCCCAGCTACCCCTGGGGCACAGGCTTGGCTCACAGGTGGGTGGGCCACCAGCCCAGATGGAGGCCTGGGTCAGTCCCTTTGGGTGTAGCCCGGGCCTTGGAGCCCTGGAGCCTGAGGGGGGGTGGGGTGGGGGGCTGGATGGGAGGCCACCAGCCAGCACTGGGGTGGGGGTGGGGGAGCCTGGGCCCTGGAGCCCTGGAGGGGTAACTGGGCGGGGAGGCCACAGGTCAGTCCTGGGGGAGAGCCTGGGCCCTGGGGCCCTGGAGCCCTGGGGGGGGGGGCTGGATAGGAGGCTCTGGTCAGTCCCCTGGGGCGGGGGAGCCTGGGGCCCTGGAGCCCTGTGGGGGGGGGGGCGCCTGGAGGGGAGACCCTAGTCAGTCCCTCCAAGGGGAGCCCGGGCCCTGGAGCCCTGGAGCCTTGGGGTGGGGGGCTGGATGGGAGGCCACCAGCCAGCCATGGGGGAGGGGGCAGCCCGGGCCCTGGAGCCCAGGGGGGGCCTGGAGGGGAGGCCACTAGCCGGTCCTGGGGGGGAGCCCGGGCCCTGGAGCCCTGGGGGGGGCTTGGAGGGGAGGCCACCAGCCGGTCCTGGGGGGGAGCCCGGGCCCTGGAGCCCTGGGGGGGGCCTGGAGGGGAGGCCACTAGCCGGTCCTGGGGGGGAGCCCGGGCCCTGGAGCCCTGGGGGGGGCCTGGAGGGGAGGCCACTAGCCGGTCCTGGGGGGGAGCCCGGGCCCTGGAGCCCTGGGGGGGGCCTGGAGGGGAGGCCACTAGCCGGTCCTGGGGGGGAGCCCGGGCCCTGGAGCCCTGGGGGGGGCCTGGAGGGGAGGCCACTAGCCGGTCCTGGGGGGGAGCCCGGGCCCTGGAGCCCTGGGGGGGGGCCTGGAGAGGGAGGCCACCAGCCGGTCCTGGGGGGAGCCCGGGCCCTGGAGCCCTGGGGGGGCTGGAGAGGAGGCCACCGCCGGCCCCCCCCCAGCCCGCCCGGCCGCGCGTGCCCCTTTCCCCTGGCCTGGGGCCCTGGGCCCTGGGCCGCCTATTTTTAGCTCCTGACACCTGGGTATTTTGCAGCCGCAGGATGTCCGGTTTGGAGTCTCTTTCTGGGAATCCCACACGCGGCTGTTGTAAACAGCCCCACGCAGCGGCGGCCGGCGGGAGGCGGCTCCCTCCTGCGGGGCGAGATGAATCAAACAGGAAGCAGCCGTAACCATGGCAGCGGCGCCCGGGCTCCCGGGGGTGGGAAAGGAGCCCTTCCTGGCTCCGGGCCCCGGCCAGTCCCCCGCCGCCGGTCCCCCCCCGTCCCCCCCCCCGCCCGCGCCCACCCCGGGCCCCGCGGCGAGCACCGGGAAGCCCTGAGCTCGCGCCCCCGCCCCCCGCGGCGCGGCCCGACTCCCGGCCCGGAGCCCTCGGAGCCCCGGAGCCCGGTTCCCACTTACCCTCACTGCCCTGCGCCCCGGGCTCCAATCCCGGACATAGGAAGTTCGCCCTGATACCTAACCACCATCTCTCCGATCATAAGCAAGACGACCTGAGCAGCCAAGGTGGGGGCCCCATCTGCAAGGTGGGGAGGGGGGAGGCTCCTGGGCCTCGGCCTCGGCCCCTGCCCTCCCCCAGGCCCCGCTGCCCGCTTAGACCAGCTGCTCCCTCTGAGCCGCCAGCCCCAGACAGTCTTTCTCAAGGGCCAGCGCTTGCCCCAACAGGAAGCACGGTCCCCGCCCCGGGGCCTGTCTCAGGGCCGCTCCTTCTCCCCTCCAAGCTCTCCTGTTCCTTCCCTCAGCTTGGGGGGGGCCCTCCTCGGCCGGGCCACATCGCGTCCCCCTCTCCTGCTCGCCCACCAGCTCTGCCTCTGCCACCTGCCCGGGAGCCAGGAGTCGGGCCTTCCCTGGCTGCTCCCTCCGGTGCCACCCAGGAGGCCCCTCAGTCCGGGCCAGAGGCTGCGGGGGGGGGGGGGGCGGGGGGGGCAAATCATGAGATTAATAATGATCCTTATTATTATCTTATTCTAATTGCTAATGAATGAGATTAGCGGCGATCCACAGCCACGTCCTGAATACCCACTGCGCGCCGGTTACCAGGCTGGGTGACACCTGACCTGCACTGTGTCCCGGTTGGTCCTCACCAAAACCCCCGTCTGGAAGTGGAAGGTACCGTAAGTAGCCTCCTCTCACAAAGGGGAAACTGAGGTGCGGCATTCTTAAGGAACTTGCGGAGGCGGCACAGCTCTGTGGGTGGGCTTCTGGGGCTCCAGAACCTAAGCTCCTAATCCTGGGGCAGCGGGTGCACAAGTGCACCCACCTCCCCAGGTGGGGAGTGAGGCCAGCGGGGGGCCACGGGCCACAGAGGATCCGGGCGTCCGAAGGCCCGGGCGGGACTCCCGGGGCGGCGCGCTCCCACAGTGTGCTACTCTTGCACCCAGAAAACAGCGCCGGCAACAAAAATAAAAACCGAGATAGTCATCTCTGCCTGGGCCCTTCAGATGCCTTTTGTCTCCAGGAGGCACTCCCAGACCCGTCTTCACTTCCTTTTGCATCTTATGTTTTCCCTGTTTTGTTAAATGCACATGTTACCGTTTTATTGTTTCCTGTAAGCAAGCGGCCTCCAGCAGGACGGAACCGAACAAGCCAACCTCCCAGGGCTGCCATGGAGGATCAAACGCTGCGTGAAAGCACTCTGGAAGCTGTCAAGCACTGTAGAAAACGCAGGTTGCATAACCAGAGCAAGTCACCCGTGGAGCGGCTACTTGGGAGTGAATTCCCTCGGGAGAAGAAGCTTGCTCTCCCTCCCTCTCTCTCTCTCTCCACCTCCCACCTCCTTCCAGGCCTCAAACACACAGGCAGGCCTGGAGCAGGTGGAGAGATGGAGGCCCCCGCCAGTGCAGAACAGAGCACCCTCCTTTAGGACGGACTCCTGGGGACTGGGAACACAGCCAAAGGCCATCAGTGCCCTTGGACCTGGGGCAGGGGAAGGCAGAGGCCACCGCGGAGGCCGGGGCCTGCTCCTGGGCCTGGGGGTGTCGCAGATAGAGGAGTCCCTGAATAGCAATAAGCTATGAATGCTGGCACTCACAGGATGCCACATTAATATTAATGACAGTAAGTGCCCAGAGATCCCCATCCCAGTTGCGCCTGGGTATCGTATCCCCCTTGTTTGGCCTATTCCTTTTTGGAAGATGGCAGAGGTCTATCAGGGCGATTTCCCCGGCGACACGATTCCTTTCTGCAGCCAGGGTTCTGCGGCTGCCCTTGGGACTCGGTGGGCCAGAGTTTTTCCAGACCACAAAATCCAGCCAGGGCGCTTATATAGCCTTCAGGGAACTCAGTAAACAGATGCGTGGTCCTGGGTACTGATCTGGACAAACCAGCTGTGAAGGACAATTTCTGGCCAATTGGGAATTGGATGAGATGAAAATGTACAATCGTGGGAGGTGGAGATCACTGAAAAGGCAGCATGTGCAGTGTCATCGCATTTTTGTAGGAAATATGACATATAAGGGCAGGCCAGGGAACAGGGAGGTGTGAAGAGGTATTGTGGCAGTGGTCTCTGACCACTGGGGCTGGAATGTTTCTCAGCTTTTAAATTTTCGCTTGTCTGTGTTGTCCAGTCATCTACAATGCACAAGACCTACATCTATAATAATAATAATAATAATAATAATAATAATAATAAACAGAATATAGGGACGCCGGGGTGGCTCAGCGGTTGAGTGTCTGCCTTTGGCTCAGGGCGTTATCCCGGGGTCCAGGATCAAGTTCCACAACAGGCTTCCTGTGAGGAGCCCGCTTCTCCCTCTGCCTATGTCTCTGTCTCTCTGTGTGTGTCTCTCATGAATAAATAAATAAAATCTTAAAAGGAAAACTGTATATGTATACACACACACAGACAAAGATGTCACAACGGGTAGTGAAGTCAAGGCTCAACTTCTGGTTCCCATGGGAGCTAGGACAACAGGCTTTCCCAGACTCCATGCATCATATGCTCGGGCCCTCCCCGCGTTTGAGGTTCTGTATTATTTACAATCTAGTGTCCCCTGCCTCTCCTGAACCACACAGAGGGGCTAGCTCAGGGCCGGGCACCACGTCAGGTCTTACTTAATGAATGCCTGTAGGCTGAATAATGATCATTTCCTGAAAGAAATGCCTCCTGCCTCTTCCAGGGCCACAGTGCTGGGAATACTCACTGCTGACATCACTGAACTTCCCATCCCTCCTCTGCTTCATGCTCCTCTTAAGAGCTGCCAGGGAGGGGCGAAAATAAAGGTCACTCCAGCAGATGCTGGCAAGGTATTCGACATAGGTCCATCAGGGCGGTCCCATCCCAGACCCTCCCCAGTGCCAGCTGGCGCAGAGGCCCTTGGGTCCTCCTGCATCCTGCCTCGCTGGAGGAGCCGGGGGGGGGGGGGTGCAGTGAAAGAGAGAAGGGGTCCACCCTGTGACTTCTGGCTACGGACTCCCGCTATTCTAGGCCCTCATGGGTGGAGGAATCTGGAACAGTGATTTTGGCCTGGTTTTCTTCTGTGAACTGGGGCTGGGCCCAGTTTCTGTTCTTCGTGTCTTTAACATTCCCTATCCTTGACCTTCAAAAAATATGAACAATAACATCAATAATGATGAATACTCTGTGTGCACTGGCTTCATACCGGGCATGACTCTGACATTATGTACTTTAATCTTGACAGCAACTCCATGAGGTTGAAACTATTATTATCTTCACCGTACAGAGATGGAGAAACTGAGGCAAACACAGCCAGCCACGTGCCCAAGGTTACACTCAGCTGTCTGCAGGAGAACGAGGGACTAGCAGAAGCTAGAAGGGGCATCCCATTCCTCCCTCTGTGTCCTTACTGGAAGGCTCCGGTGCCAGGCCTCGCAAGGGGCACAGAAGGACCCAAGGGCAGTAATCCACATCTGTAGGGGGCCTCGGAGCCTACCATGCGTTTGCATACGCATCGCATCAGAGGAAACTCCCACTTGAAGACTCAGGGCCCTGTGCAGCTTGGCACAAGGGTCCCCGGCCATTGGGAACCAAGCCCACTGGGAACCAAGCCCACTGGGAACCAAGCCGCGTCTTTGGCCTCAGGAGGGGTTCATGTCTTCCCCTAGATCCTACAATCCGCCTGGCCCATCTCTGAAGATGGTTCTGCAGGCCGGGAAGGGAGACGCCGGTCCTCTAGAACCAGGGAGATGAGGCCTGCGCTCAGCCCCTCGCCCCGGTGGGGGTGGGGGTGCTGTGCCAGCACCTCCTCGGGCGTCTCCACCGTGACTCACTCCTGGGACCCAGGGGAAACACAGCCCTGCTGCTGCGGGCAAACACTGCCTGCCTCCCGCCCCGCCTCCAGCTCCCCGCCTCCACATTTGCTAACCGAAACCGGGCTGCTGCTATTTTTAACCCTCCAGCTCCCCCTGGCCTGGGGCTCCCCCCTTCACCCCACCCCCACCCCCTGCCCCAACCGGGTGCCACCAGCCCGTCATTCTGAGAGCAGTTCTCTAACCTGAACGCCCCGGCGGGTGCAGCGGATGCCCGGGCAGGTTTGTGGGGCAAGCAAAACAAGACGGTTACAGCCCAGTTGCCGAATTCCCCCACCCCGGACTCTTTCCGAACCTGTGGCTCTCCCAGCCGCCCCGCCTTTCCCAGCCTTCCTGGGAGCTGGGGGAGGCAGGGATGAGACTTCCTGGGAGTGAGGGCAGGAGCCCCAGGTGGGCTCCTGGGAATGGGCTGTGCAGGAGCTGAGCTGCACTCCCGAGCAGGAATGGGGGACCCCTCGTGCTTCCCAGGGCAGAGGCTCTCCCTGAAGGCCCGAGGGCTCGGGGCTACCAGGGTTTCCAATCCCTGCAGGCAACATGGGGGAAAAAAGGAAGTGGGGAGGAGCATGGTGGGGATGGTGAGTTTAGCCCTGTGCCCTCCTTACTAAAAGTTCCCTCCCCATCCTGCTGTGGAGGTTCTGGAGGCTAAGCTTGGGAGTGAAGGCCTGGGAGGCAGCGAGGCCAGGGGGCTTGGGCACTGAGCAGTCTAAAGGAGGCCCAGGGTAGAGTGCCAGCTGAGGCAGTGGGGTGGGAAGGGGTTGGGCAGAGGGCTCTCCTCTTACCTGGGGGCTCCTCTGCCGCTCAGGTCTCTAAGGAACGGCTTCCAGCTCCCTGCAGCCTCAGCTCTCAGCCCCCCAGGTAAAGCCCTCTCCCTTTGTGGCAGGAAGAGGTTGCAGATGAGAGGGTCTGAGGGCTTCTTGCCCCCAAGTTAGCCTCCTGAGAGGGGGAAGGGGTAGGACTGCAGGGGAGCTAGCTGATGTCTGTGCCCTGGGCTGAGAGAGTCTCACCCACTTTGGGGAGCAGATTCCAAGGGCCCAGGAGAGGCTCTGGGGGCACCCGGTCAAGGGACTCCTTCACGCCTTTTCTCCTGTCCGGACCCCTGATCCGGCCAGCCACGGCCCTCTCCTCTGCTGTGTCTTCTCTGGCCCCTGCCCTGGATCTCTCTGGTCTGTTGTCTCTTCCAGGGCCAGGTCCTCTCTAAGTCTCGACCCTCTCCACAGTGATTCCAGAGCCAGGCAAATAAATCTCAGTGGCTACCGAGGCAGCCAGGCTAGACCCAGAGAGGAGGGACTTGGCACGGGAGTTCCCAGGTGGGGAGATGGGGAGGAAGGGGATGAGGTGGGAGGAAGGTGAGGCTGGAGCGTCAGGAATGGGGTGGTGCTTGAGAGCTCCTGGGGTGAGGCCCGGCCTTCCCCCACTCCCAACATGTGCCTGGTGCCTGCCCGCGGAAGGCCATGGACTCACCCAGGCTGGAAGGAAAAGGCTCCTGCTACTCGAGCAATGGAGCAGCCTGGATTTCAGCCCTGTCCAGCTGCCCCTCCTCTTCTCCCCCTCGGCCAAACTCTGGGGGCTACTTGGGGAGCAGAGACCCTGCTGCCTGCCAGGGCAGGAAACAGGCCTTGTCCTCGGCGGCCAGTGCTCCACCCAGGTCCCCTACCTGGATCCAGGCAGCTCCCAGGCATGCTCAGAGGCTCTGAGGGCCCCGCTTCTGGTCTGGACAGGTGACAGAAGGCATCAGTGTCACCCTCTCAAGCAGGCCTCTCCTGGCCACTCTACCTCAGGGTGTCCCACCTTGCTATCCTCTATCACTGCACCCAGTTCACTTCCTCCTTGGGCTTATCACAATGTATAACTAGATACATACACTCATTTCTTTCCTGGCCTCAAGTGGAAGTTCCCTGAGGTCAGACACTCTGCCTTTGCGTTCAGTGCATATCTGTGCCCAGTACCTGGCACCCAGCAGGGCCAGGAAGCCTCCACTGGATGAAAAAATAGCTGAATGATGGGCTCGGTAGATGGGGCCTCCTGGCTGCCAACAGCATCTTTGCAGTAGATGCTCGACAGTTCCAGGATTTCCTCAGGGAGGAGAAAGCAGGATGTAACAGGAAGAGCAAGGTCAGGAAGGCTGGCACCCCCGAGGAAAGGTCAAGGCCCAGTCAGTAACCACACCATCCCCATCTGGCCCACTGCATCATGCCGAGTGTGGACCTGTGCACGTGTGCACCCAGAGCGGATGCGTGCGTAAGTCCTGGACCGGTCTTGGAAGACTTGAGTTTTGTCCCAGATCTTCCTCTTCATGGCCCCGTGTCCTTGGACAAACCACAAAGCCTTATGGGTCTCAGTCTTCTCAGAAAGAAAAAAAACGACAAGGACGGTCCCCCGTTGGCGGTCCTCAAACGCAGCTCTGCACCAGAATCACCCGAAGCACGTGCTATAATCCAGATTCCTAGGCCCCAACCCTGCCGATTCTAGGTTGGTCTGGAATGGGGCCTAAGGCTCTTTATTTTTCACACACTCCCAGGCGACTGAAGCAAATGGTTCAAGAACTGGCGCTTGAGGACCGCGGATGAGATCGTGCTTTTCTATTAAAAAGCCACGCTTACCCAGGTAGACATTCCCCCAAAACATGTCCATGTATCCCACACAGAGCAATAAACTGCAAAGGTGCACAACCACACGGCTGGCATACATCTGCACTACACGTGTGCCCACTCCCCAAACACCCAGTACAGAGCCACCACACGGATCACCTGGAACCGCCCGGGGGCACACAGACAGACCCCCCACCACAAACCCGGTGCGCGCACACACCCAGCACATGCTGACCCACACTAAACAGACGCTCTTCTGAATTTATTTTGCCTCTGGGAACTGGTCCAGGACCAAAGGAGCTATGCTCTGCTGATGAAAACATCCCTCCCGCCTCTGCCACCCCCACTCCTACCCCTTGCCCCAGGCAGCAGGCTGTCCGCCTCCCCCTGGTAGAAGGAGGGCTGCTGGAGGAGCACAGCGGAGAGATGGAATGAGGGGAGGTACAGAGTCCTCCCCAAAATCCAGCAGCCCCTCCTCTTCTTCCACTCCCCCCAACCCAGGAGATGCAAAGGGGCCTACACCCAGGCACCCCCATCGGTGCTCACTCAAACCACTCGCCCAGATTCCCAGGCCCTGGTCCTCGGGAGCCAGAAGGGCTAGGGAGGTGGCTGGATCTAGGGACTCCTCCTAATACTCAGGCTTCTAAGGAAAGGGCTGTCTGGGGGCACCTTCCTGCAGCCCAAAGGCCCGGGTCCCCGGGGAAGGTTACCACAGAAACAGGGGGGAAATATCACAGGGAAACACAATAGCCGGCAGGGTCACCTGCTGACCAGGCTTCCTGCTGTGTTGCCCACCGCTACCCCCCCTCAACACACACACACACACACACACACACACACACACACACACACCATCTCACGGCCCTTATGGCCTCCTCCTCTGGCCTCAGCTTGGGCCTCCTCACCATTGCTCTCCTTCCTGCCTCCCCTGGGCTGGGGGAAGCAGCCTTGGACAGAAAGTGCCCCTCTACGGTTCTCAACAACATCAGGGATGGCCCAGAGCTGAGCCCCCCACTTCTAATCCTACCAACGCCCCCACCACAGGAAATCAAAGCTTCCTGCCCCAGAGGAAGTGCCCCATCTAGTGAACAAATCCAACATACACAAATGCACAGTCCTGGACAGATGACCCCCACCCCCAACCCAAGCTCCCAGGCCTTACTCTGGCCCTGCTTCTAGCAATACCTCACGTCACTGCACGCCCCAGGCCAACGTCTGGCCAGGGCCAAGGTGTGACAGGTGGGCATGGGCAGGACCTGAGCCAGGCCAGGGAAGGGGAAGGCCAGGGGAATGGGCACCAACAGAGTTAGAGGGTCTGGTTCCAGGCCCACTCGGCCTACATTCCCTGGCTGGGTGACCCTGGGCCTTGCATTAGCTCATCTTCTCTCAGGCCCCCGCCAACTTCAAAATTCCCAGCTCTTATGAAAGGCCAAGGAGAAAGAGAAAGAGGAGGTTGGGGCTGCACCAGCTTCTGCCTTCCAGGGCCTTGGGCTGGGCAAGCAGGCCTACAGCTACAGGAGGGGCCCCACTCCCCACCCCATCACACAGGAGTTCATCACTCCCAAGGGTTGTAAATGAGGACGGAGAAAGAAAGAGTTCCAACTCCCATTCCAAGGATGAAAGCTGGGGTCCGTCCATCATCCCTGAAGGAAGCTGGAGGCAGCCCAAGGGCCCCCACACTGGACGCCGGTCCATTTCTTTCGAGCCAACCTCTCTTCCTCTGGGAAGCGCACCTGAAATGTTGTCCCCATTTTATGGATGGGGAAACTGAGCTTCAGTGTCAAAGCAGAGCGACCAGTCTAGATTCTGGGGACGGTCGATGCAAGACCCGAATGCAAACTTGCCAGCTTCAGGATCCCAGCTTAAGACCAAGTGGCCAGAGAGACACCTGCCCAGGGGCTGAGGCTGAGAACACAGAGGCCTCAGGAGAACACTGCCCCGGGGCTGTTCTAGAAGTAACACCAAGAGGCAGCTCTGAGCCTGTTCCTACCCAGCATGAGGAACATCAGGGGACAAACGGCAGGGAAGAAGTCCCAGCCGGTCCAGACCTGGTTCCAGTCTAGGTTCGCTGGGCACAACACAGCGGGATTGCTTTGTGCCTTAGTTTCCCTCTAAAGGGACTACAGAGAAGAAGAAAATTACTTATAACCTGAGGTGCGCAGAGGGCACACAGAGAGTGAGGGGGGTGAGCTGATAAGCAACGAGGAGCTAAGGGTGGCTTGCAGGAGCCAGAGACGGAGCCGGCGAAGTACAAGAGGGCTGGCATGAGGAGTGAGAAGTGTGCGGGCAGCCAAGCCACTTTAGGGACCTGGCCTATGGGGTCCTTGTTGGGGAGATGAGGGCTGCCAAAGCACCCCATTAGGGGGTAGGGAACTGAGCCACAGTCTCCTTTCTTTCAGCCCAGGGGCTGGGCAGTGGT